ATCTATTAATTTTAAAGCTATTTTATTTTACTTTAAAATAAAATGGAGTAAAATTCGAATATATATTTATTTGTATTTTTTATCAGCTTCTAAGCTGTCCAAGGATTTAACCTTCCCGATATTTACCTGATCAAACTATAATATATGTCCCCCATTACTACAAGCGCATTCAAACGTCGACTTATTGCCAACTGTAGATCTGCCTCGCTCTTAATATAATTTAATTGTAACTGTTTGTCTTGGACCTGTTCGCTCTCAATAGCCTCAGTTTCCCAGTCGCAGGCAGTAAATAAATAAAAAGTAAATCTTCAAAAACGGCGTGAACAATAATAATAGCCGTACAATAGCTTACGGCAGTTGCCAAAAAAATATATAAAAAATTGCAATCAAGCATCTTAATGCGCTTAGCTCGCCTTTCCAGCCCAACCCGAAGTGTTTTGCTAGCCGTTGCGGAAGCTGAAGCCGCTGTTGGGCTCACGTTTCGCTGATTGGACAGTTTTGATGTCTGCCCCGTTGGCCGACCAAAGAAATTAAGCCTCTGAAAAATGTCAGAAAAAAGTACAAAAATAATAACAAAATCATTTGAAACTGTTTTGTTTTTCGCTGAATTTTTTGGAAAGAAGAAAGTTGCGGCCTATTGTCTATGTTTCGTCATAGTTTGAATTTGACATTTATCCGATGATTACCGCAGATATCCAGCCCACATGGTCAATGGTTATGCAGTGCGTTCAATTTACATGATTTAATAGGCTTACCAAAGAGCTTACAGCGCACAAATTGGCCAGAACACCCACACACGCCGAAAAACATTCCTTTATAAATGGGAGCGTGACTGCATTAGAGTAAATATTATATAAGAATTATTTTTATAAATATAAAAACTGTCATAATCAAATACAGAATTCATACCTCATACTTCAATTCAATGCTGCTGTCAAAGTCAACTTGTCTAATGAATATGAACTATAAATACTTAAAGATTCCCAAGAATAAAATTTTGTCAAAAATAAACTATCAAATCAAAGTCTGTAATAAAATTTCTAACTTGATTTAAGTTGAATCTTCTCTATTTCTTAGAGTGCACACTTAGGGTCCATAATCAAATTGGCAAACACTTAAATATCAATCAAGCTGGGCAGCCGTCACTCAGCACATTAATTAAACAAAAAAGCTGAATGGCAAGTCGGGCAAAGAGGTCGCGACGTCGAGTCCATTTACAACTGTGCGACGTGCCAAGAAATTTAATTAGCGAACAATTTTTGACACAAACGTTTTGCGCCTTCGCATCACATCGCATCGCATCAGAATCGAAATCAGTCTCAGATTTTCCGTTCGCATTTCTCAATGCTCAAGCAATTGCAAGTCATTTGTCAGTCTGACCTCTGGGCTCTGTTGAGTGTGCGACGCGCGTATTTCGGGCTTAATTTTTAATGAATTACAACATGCAACAAATGAACTTATTTTTTTATGTAAGCGCCAGACGCGGCATTTAGCTTTATGGCTGGACCTAATGGCAAACAGTGAGCATAAACGTAAACATAACCGTAACCGTAAACGTAAACCTAAACGTAACCGGTTCAGGTGACCGCGCTAAAAGTCAAAGTGTCAAATAGTTGATGCGATTTGCTGATGCTGCTGCTGCTGCCGTTGCAGCTGCTGACAATTAAACTGCTGCCAAAAGTTAAATCTGAAGCAAACTATCTTAACGTACCACAAAGCCACTGACATTCCACAGCAGAGTGAGCCAAGCCTTTAAGCCAAAGCAAATGAACTCGCCACCAGGCGTTGCATGATTATACTTTCATTAAACACAATTTGCCACACTAAACTATTAACTTTGTCTGAGCTATAAAACCATTTCCTATTCGTAAGTCCAAATGCTGTCGATGGCTATTGATAGGTATTTATAGTTCAACCCAATTTTATTTACACGCCACAGTTGCCCCAGCAACAGCAATATATATATTAATGTGTGTACATTGCGGCGTATGATTAATGTTGGCATTGCGCACGCAACTGTAAATGCAGCGCAAGGCAAGACAGAACTAAGCACTCATTTTTGACACGCGTGCAATGGCAGCAAATAACACAATGCGAGCTCTATGAAAATCTAAGCAACTAATTAAATAAAAAGTTATGAATGTCGTCATGGAATCTGATTCATTATCCATTACGCTGAGATCGACCAAAAGAAACTGATAATGAGCCTAAGGCAAGAGCTTGATTAGCTGATGTATGACATGTGATGTGTATAAATGTGATAGGAAATATATTAAGATATATGAGTTCTAGAGAAAGTGGTAAACAAACATAAATTTGTAGTCGAGGTGTGCTCAAAAAGTATCTCGAATTTTTATTTACGACTTTTAGGCAGTTCAGTTCAGTTCTTGAAGGACATTAAACATAGGTATAAATATATAGTATATATGCCTATAGAGGCATATAGGCTTATAGGCATATAGATATAGCTGCACAGAATAATAAATAAATTGTTTTATTTTTTTGTATTTTTTTGACATTTTACTATTTTGTTTAATTATTTTAGATATTTTTTTAAAGAGAGAAAATTATCATAAACATTTATTTTATAATTTTTGGCAAACCTTTGTCAATGTTATTGTTATTGTTATTTATTCTATTAAATATATTTATATTTATAATGGGATCAAGATACTTGAGGCACTTGCAGGCATCAAGATTCAACATAGACAAACAAATATAAATTTGGAATCTATATACGAAGTCTGTTCACCTCGCTTACAGAGTCTCACTTAAAATAAGAAATTCATATAGCTTATAAATAATATAATTTTATATCTATATAAAAACAAATATGAAACATATGCTGTAGCGGAATATATATTGTGTTTATGTCTTCAGCTGGCTCTTACATAATCATGAAATACCCTTTGCTGGCACATTGCATGTGAACAGTGTAATAATCCGCTCAAATTTCAAATGAACTCTTGACTCTGGCAACATTTGGCCTAAGATTTTTATGCATCTGCCAAGTTGGCTCATATGTTGCTGCAAAAACAGTTGGCAAGTTACATATGTAAATGTGGACGTAATATTTGCTGGAATAATGCGATAAACATTTAGTGCGCCATTCGGGCAGCATCTGAATTGAATCTCGCATATGAATCGATTATTGCCGTTTAGCGTGACACGCGCTTCGCCTCTACCCAGGGCATTTGGTGGCTGCCACATTTGCTTGCAACTGTTGCCAGCTGATTGGCAAATGTGCTTTAACAGCCGTGTCGTGCCAGCGGTTTGCCACACACACACACGCACAAACACGTCAAATGTGCCCCACTTGATGAGCACATCATAATACTGAACTGAACTGAGCTGAAACGAGCTGCTATAGTCGACGTGGCTTATTACATCATCTGCCATTCGGGCCGAAAGTTTGTGCACTTTGCTAAAATGGAAATTAGCTAAAGGCCAAAATTGGCTAAGAACACTTAAGTGTTCTATTAGCTGGGCAACAACGACTGAATGTTGCATGCAGCAATCGTGTAGAGAACAAAGTATTAAGGAAATCATAAATGACACAAACTTCAATTTAGCTTTGATTAAGCCAAGAACTAAGTCAAATTTGATACAGTCGAAGCTTTACTTGATGAAATTATGTAAAAAGACAATTTGAGTTACTTTTAAAAATTATTTTTTTACTTATGTTGATATCGAAAATCGATTAAAATGAATAAAAAATTAAAAAATTTTGAGAAAAAATTTAAAAGTAAAAAATTGAAAAAATTAAAAAATTTTGAGAATAAAAATTATTTAAAAACCTGTCCAGTAAGCAAGAAATGAAAATTGTTCAACAAAATTAAAAAAAAAATATATTTTTTCAATATAAATTTAAAATATTTTAGGTAGATTGCAAAATATTTCTTAGATAAGAAAATACCCTCCCGATTGAGTTTGAGTAAAAGATTTCTTAGAAAAATAAGTGAAGAATACAAATCTCGTTCTAAAATCTATAAAAATAAAGTTCTATCATGCTATCATGCTATGCTAAGCACACAACAAATGGAAACCAGCTAAGATAAGAAAGTTTTAGCAAATTTATGCAAGTTTAAGGACTTGCAGATCCGAAAGTTTTTACATGTTCGAATTGTTTGGCTTGAGTTGAAAGACTGAAAGCGTAGCAAAGAAAATCGAGGGCGATAATCTAATTTGAGTTATGGGTTCTTAATGAAGCGCATCGAGGCTCGCATTGAAGTGGCTCAGAGGTCAGCGACGCTTATTGCTGGCCAAAGAGTGGACAATGTTAGGTAGACAGCAGCAGACCGAGCCAGGCAGTTAACCCAAGTTCAAGCCAAATTCACTGCCAAAAGATTTATACGCATAACTTTGGCGAGGAGCGTTTAACCACTTAATGGATCATAATTTTATGGAGTGCAGAAAATAAAGTCAACCAACTACCTAATGAAAAATCGCATAAAAATTGCTTTTACTGGCCAAAAGTTACGCGGCTCAAGGACATGCACACACCGAGGTACTTTAGCTGCCGCCTGTGGACTGTGCTTAATTTAGTATTTATTTAAGTTGTCACAAACTGAAATCAGCTGTGCCTAATACAACTTCTTTATGAACTCATAATGAGACGAGCTCCCAGCATGTGTGCGACTCAGCCACGCCACGCAGCTAGGGGCAACTCTTTAAGCCACATTTAGTGCGCAGTGGATTAAAGTTGCAGCCGTCGTTGTTGATAAATTGGGTGTACGTCTGGCCTGTGCTTCCGTTGCGCATAAATCAGGTTAGGCGTTGACCCCGTTTTAATGGACAGACGCCATGCTGCCACACGTGTAGCCATTGTTGCCGCACACTGAAATGGCGTGCAAAGACAAAAAGGATGTGGCTGGATGTGGGTGCATGAACTTTGAACCGCAGCTAATGTCAAAGCATCCCTTCAAGCAGGGCATCCTTAATATAAAAATACGGGTTTTATGGCGTCGCACTCTAATTCCCTCTATGCTCTGCTCTTACAGATGATTAAAATGATGCTGACGGTTGTAATTGTATTCACAAGCTGCTGGCTACCGTTCAACATACTACAGGTGGGTACACTGCGGCGGTTGCTCTGACAGCAACTTAGCCACGGGGCATACAAATCTTACTTAAATTGCTGGAGTCTCCCTTTATTCTACTCTCTCTCTCTATCTTTGTCTGTCTTGCAGCTCATGCTTAACGATGAGGAGTTTGCCAACTGGAAACCCTTGCCGTATGTTTGGTTCGCCTTCCACTGGCTGGCCATGTCGCACAGCTGCTACAATCCCATCATCTACTGCTATATGAACGCCCGTTTCCGTGGCGGATTCCTACAGATCATGTACCGAGTGCCGGGACTGCGGCGCTGCTGCTGCCTGCATCGCTATCTGCGCAGTCGCGGCGAGCGCAGCTATGAAGCTACCGGTGAGATGACCTTCAAATACAATCGCCGAAATGGCGATGGTCTAGTAAGGAAACCTAAAATACGCATTAGGTGCCACCTCCCTTCTCTAATTCTCTACAACTCTAAATATTTCTATTCAAATCTGTTTGTCTTCACGTTTCAATGCCATAAAACAAAAAAATATATAAAAAAAAATTAATAAAAAATATACAAATTAGCTTTGGCAAGCCGAAGCGTGTATACCCTTGTAAACAAAGTGGAGTTATAGTTACAATTAAAGTTATGTTACAAGAGTTTAACTTGCTTTTGTTCCTTAAATTTCTTAAAAATTAGCAAATCTGTTTGCAGTAAAATTTTATATGGATTTATTCTTTTATTTAAAGCTTTATGATATCCTAGTCCGATGTTATCTAAATTTTATTTCTATATAAAATATGCCTTAAGCTTATAAGCTCACAAGTTAAAGTCATTATGAATAAGAGACAAAGTTTACAAAGCTTATTATTCTTCTGATACTAAGCATAACTTTTTCCATTAAAAATAGTAGAATAATATTTATAAATATATATTTAGTTACTATGACTTAAGTCTCACCTCAAATCGAGTCAAGACTTCATAAGCCACAAATTGCTCCAATAATTATTATCACGATGTAGTCCGATTGGCTCACAGCTATTTCAGTCACTGCTCTCACTTCCTGCTGGCATAACTCGAATACCATCTTAGGCAGAGACAAGTCTATACACACAACTATAATACGGCATACTTCGTTAGATAGTTACCATTCTGAGTAGTTAGTTCCTTAACTTCTCCTTCATCCCAGGCAAATGTTAAAGCATGTTGCACACACACAGCGCACAACAATCCCAGAACCGCATGCGTAGGCACATAGCTAATGAAGTTACATATCAAATTTATTTCAAATACTTTAACAAGACTTTCTATTAAATGTTTGTTAATTGCTGCTGTTGTTGTTGCTGTATTTTGTGTATTCCACGCCACTTGAAAAGGAACGGAAGATGCATTCCACCTACATCGTGTGAACACCTGCACCACCTACATCAGCACCAGGCGAAAGCTACGCACAAATTCTATGCAAATGGTGAGTTCAGCTTGTTCTCTTCGTTGTCTTTGGCAGTCAACAAACCTATTTGATATTTAATGAACTCCTTTTTAGAGCCAATTTTCATGTGCGGAGACCACAGTGTTACGGTAGCTCCCGATGTCGCACAGATGCCACAACCCCGGCTCCAGCCGCGCCGACCCGCTGGTGCGTTTCACCTGAACAGCACCAGCTACCTGAGCTCCACACAGTTCTGAACTAAGTTGCAAACCAAAGATGTGCTGAATCTCCATTGATTTCTAGTGCAAGCGTCTCGAAAAACAACAAGCTAGTTGAGTGTCTACATACTTCTATGACTAAGTGTATTCCTGTATAAATGTTAACTCAATGTAAATGTATAAAAATTATGTAATTTACAAATAATCATAAATAAATGTGCATAGAAATTCCAATCATTATTGAAAATTGACTAATTTAAATAATAATTAAAAATTAAAAATATAAAACAAAAATACATAAATAGAGATATATAAATTAAACAACTGTCAGCGACTCGAATTTCTGTCCCTCACAGATTGGCCGATGCGACGTTAAATTTAATTTGTTTTGACGCACAAAAGTATGCTGCACTTTTTAACAATACAAACGATGCAGGCGCAAAATGTGTTGCCTGCTTTTGAGCGCAGCATTCATTATATATTACGCATACGCAATGTTGGTCTTAATTGAATTCGCCTGGCTGCCAATATGCATTACCAGAATTTGTGACTACATCAGAAAATTCCATTTATTGGCCTAATACCATTATCAAAAAAACGCCAGAGTTGCATTAGCTCCTAGTCTATGCGTAATACGTATACAAATCAATGTAGAAAAATCATCACTTGTCTGCTGTGTACTCATCACCAGATGCGGCATTTAGGCTGATCTGGGTTCATGGCTGTGCCACGGCCGCATTTGAATGTGCGCGCAAACTCCTCGGAGTTGGACAGTACGCCCTTCAGGCGCATCTGACCGGGACAGTGCGAATCCTCGAGCGCATACCGCGATGCGGCTGGCGTATAGGTCTCGCACCACAGATTGCCAAACGCGATGAAGAAGAGTTGTTCGTGCGTATAATGCTCCAGCCCGGGCAGCTTTAGACGCTCGCGGCCCACCTCCTTCACATAGAGCCGATACGCCAGATAGGCCTCCCGCATGCCGCCATTGTCCGCAATGTTCTCGCCCAGAGTTAGCTCGCCATCAATCTGCAAGCAGACCGAAATGTGTGTACTGATTGGAGCACTCCGCCTCCGCATCCGTTGCCATGCTTACGTATTCCCCAATATCCGGCAGATAGTATCGGCTGTATTGTTCCACGAAACATTCGGTGCGATTGACGTACTCATTGATTGTCTGGTTCGACCACCACTCGACCATGTTGCCCTCCTTGTCGAATCGCCGGCCGCTGTCGTCGAAGCCATGCGTCAGCTCATGCCCCAGTATCGTACCAATCGAGCCGTAATTCAAAGCTCTAACAAGGATGCGTTTGAACAAATGTAATTGAGTTTGTATCTTAAGGGATTAAAGCGCCAAGATTGAGTGCAGAATGGACAGCGGTCAGTGGCGAGTGCGGAGTGCAAAGTGCGAAGTGCAGACAAATGAAACCAGTGCTTGAGAGTGCGTGCTTGATTAGGGGCGTGGCTGCTCCAACTTACTCGAGGCCAAGGTCGTAGAACGGATATTGCAGAATGGCAATGGGCACAGCTGCAATGAAAAACAGTAAAGAGATTACACCTTGAAGCGCGACACTGCCCGACTGCTAGTTATCCTGTAAATGATGCATAAAAGTAGCTGGAATGTATATTGACTAACCAGTTGATGCCCTATTTATAGTTTAAAAAGGAACTACAATAAATTATCTGACATTATTTAATCCTATAAATTGCATCAGAATTAATTATGTGAGATTACCAGATTGGTAGATACGCTGTAAAAAGTTTCAGGAAACCACTAAGAGTTTTTATGTGGTATTGACTGATTGCTAAATAGCCTGTATCTGGTGTCAAAGGGTGCAATAAATGATGCTTGAACTATATACTGAATTTCATTTAATCTATCGATGTAACCATAAAAAACATATATGCAAATATCGATAAAAAACGATTAATGATCGATAATTATTAAGTTGACAATTATTATTAATTTTAAATATATTTAAGAAACTCTCTCTACATTTTTGCCAGACGTATTCAATGCAAAAGCAAAAAAACGTGAAAATAATCGATAATTATCAATTGCAATTAGAGTTGAAAGTTCACTGATTAAACTAATGGGACTTTTTATTTTTTTAGATTCAACTTTCATGTGTCTGTCAGACATACTTCCACAGGCCAATTACACTCGATATTAACCATGTTTAATGGACGCAGTGTAATGCAATGAAATGATTAAAATGACCGCACGAATGTATTCAACTTACTAATGGCATTCGATTGAAACGTATGGAAAGCGTTCACATTTGACGGCGAAGTCGCCCAGCCGATGGGCTCTGGCTTGTCCATATCATTGATTTTGGCCAGCATTTGCCAGTGCACAAAGCCCATTAGATTCTCCAGATGAGTGCTCACATTGACCTTGACGCCCTCGTAGTAGGCATTGAGGGCAGTCGCATTGGTCAGCCAGTGGGGAAAGCCAATGAAGCTCTTCATTTCAGCTGACTTCTGGATGGTCTGACGTTTAGTGGCCGCATCCATCCAGTTAGTGGAGCGCACCAGGCGATCAAAGGAGCGTCGTATATCGCTCAGCATGCGCTCGACGCGTGGCAAGGTCTCCTTCGTGAAACGCTCATCAGCCAGCACATAGCTCACGGCCATGCCAAACAACGTATTCACGCCGTGTGCACAATAAAGGGAGCGCGGAGTGCTGCCCTCGGTGCCGATGACAAGGCGCATGTACTCCCCGTGCAGCAGACGCATGTCGCTGGTCGTGTGCAGCACCAGCTCCTCGAGTGCACTTAGCCACAAATAGGATTCGATGTGCATGGCGGGCGTTTCGTGCAGATATGCGACGATGTTCTGCAGATAGTATATATCCGCCTGGCTGGTTATTATAGTCGTATTCTTGATATCCATTGTGGATGCGTGTTTCGTGCCCTCGAGCAATAGCTGCATGTAGCGCACCCAAATGGGCATCGTTTGCGGCGCAATGTTTTTATCTGTCTGATTCTGAAGTTTCATTAATGAAATGTACATGATATCCTCGACGGGATTACTAGAGGGCTTCGTTATGTTCTCTGCCTCCTCTTTCAGCTGCAAAACAAATCTCTTTACTGGCTACAATTTATGGGACACATGCCACAAACCGTATGAATCTTGCGTGCCACCTTGACGGCCTGCATCACCAGCTCCTTAATGCCCAGCGTGGCCTCCTCCTGATTGACATCGGGATCCACATAGAGCAAGTACTTCTCGATTACCTTGCGCACGTACATCACATAGGCGGACATGCCTGCACTGGTCTGCTTGCTGGCCTCCTCCTCCTCCTCTTCCGTCTCGTGATTGTCGTTGTCATCGCTCTCATCCATATACTGCAAGTAGATGGTACGTCTATGGATCTTGCGCAGCATCTTATGCGAATCATCATTGTTACTAAAAGCAAATTGGAGCATTTATTAACTAGAACTAAAGCTAAGCCTCCGCCACTCACAAGGGAAATGCGGACTCCGTTTCGGGCGTGCCCAGTGCAATGCGATTGAGTGTTCGATTCAAGGGATCGGGAAAGACGTCGAAGCCCACTATCAGGTCCAGGCTCAGATGGCGCTTTATAGCCACCACCGTGTCCAGCCAGTTGTAAGTATAGTTGCTCGTCTCTGTAGCATATTTCGAGCCACTGCTAAATGTTAGGTTCAGGGCTGAGGGCAGCAGCGGCAGCTTGAAGCGTTGCAAATAGTTAACAAGCGGCTCCAGATCACGCTCATCCAGCAGATCCGTGTCCATGCAGCTCCGGTACATGGTCTTGGCCATGCCCACGGCAGCTGGCTCGGCGCTGCTGATATTCGACTGCAGAAAGGAGCGAACCAAGCGCATTATATGCGCCTGCCGCTCGCGAAACCAATCGTTCGATGTGGCCGAATCGGGACGCGGATGCTCGTTGGCCCAGCGACCGCAGGTGAATTTGTAAAAGTCCTCGCAGGGATCAGTCTGTTCGTCCATGGCATAGATGAGGCTAGCCGCTGTGCGGATGCACTCCTTGCTCCGGCATATATGACTAGATTTCTTAACTGAAAATCACGATTGAAGCTTCAATGATTGCTGACGATTGATGCTCAGCCCAGCTACTTACATGTTACGCTTAAGACTATGATTGTTATTAGCAGAATGACTACGAGCGCTACCAACACGCCCAGCACAACTTTGTGATAATATCTGCGCCGAAATCTGCAAAAGGCGAACGATTAAAACATATTTCGCCACTCGAGTGAGCACCTACTTGGATTGCACGCCAATTAGATTGGAGTTGATGGCCTCGTAGGGCAGCTGCTTGCTCTGAGCACTGTCCCCATGGCCGTTTTCGCTAAAAGCACGCACCGGTGCCAGTTGGCCAGACAAAAGATTTCGATTAGCTGTAATAGACAGACATTACGTGCTCATTAGTTATATGAATCGACTGCAATATAGCTTAGGAAATATTTTTCTAGCCTTTAAGCCTTATTTTTTGTACGAAATTTATTAAAACTAATTAGTTTGCTGTTGTCTATTTAGATGTCCATCATTTGTCATGCTCTTTACCCATATATTGCTGCCTAATCTTGATCCATTTGGCTCGCTATGCGTCGCCCCTGCCCCAACCTCAAGCTGTCAGGCGAGCTGGACTATACGAAGAATTGTGTGCCATAATGCATTCACCTGTCACATCCAAATGCAACATGCATTAACTATGCATTGGTTCAATGCACTGCAAATGTTTTGCGTGTCCAGGCACATTAAACTAATTTTAAAGCGTACCTCGATATGTTTATATACCAAACAAACATATCTAACACTATATATAGATATAGATATAGATATGGATATAGATATAGATAGAAAGAAAAATTCTTAGAAATAATCCTGTATATAAAACAAAGTTTTATAATAAATAAATATTATATAGTGCAATCTTTTTAGAGGCTTACAAGTCTGAGTTGGCAACACTGCTTTGTTTAATGACATATTTAATAGATGATAGTTGAGTTTTGTAGTCACTGGCTTGACTTTTTATTATGAATATATTTACTTGAAACTTGTTGAAATTTTATATCAAAATAATAGTTCTATTCGTCAAGCTCGTAGCGATCTGCGTCCAAGACCAATTTTTGTTGAATGGCCACGTAAAGAATCAGAATTGTCGCATGTAGAGTGAAAATAATCTACAAACTGTTTAGACAGCTAAAAACCATTACATTCAAAGCAAATTAATAGTTGTTGCGCTTTATGAGCTGTCTTCAAAAACGCTGATGGCGATGATTGTGTGTTCCAGACAGCGCCTGGCGCCAGCACTGATGGCCACATGACCAAAACTATATTTAGTCATTAATTCCATTAAATTAACTATCTCGTCAAATCGTTTCATAGATATTAAAAATATATTTATTTACTATATTATAATTTAAACATATGTAACTCTAAAAAAAACAGAGAAGAGTATTCGTATTATATAAATTATAAATTTTCTATTTATATTATATTATATTTTACGCTTAGGCAACGATTCTAGATAGATATAGAGACATTATAAATTAAAAATATATTGAAAATTATAATTGATTCTCAAGCAGCTCAAGTCACTCTAAGGCATGCCCAATTCGAATACCATGTTCAATCTCAGCCATAGACACTAGTGGCCAGAGTTTGTACTATATTCCCACTTAATTAATTTAGGCCAACAAATGGCTTTCATTTATATGTCAATGTATATACAATTTTATAAATTTTTTTCGTTAGCTTCACAATGTCCCAAATTCTATCATTATTTGGCTATGACACATTTGATCTGGAGGTGAATATTTATGCCATGGCTGAGGACGTACATGAGATATCGGACTTAATGAAAGATGCTGAGTCCCTTAAGAAATTAATATTGAATCCATGGGAAGTGATTATGCAAATTTGGGCGGCCTTTCTGTCCATAGCTATACTCATTTTTTTGATAAGTCTCATTATCAATGGGAAATCGGAATGGCGAAATCGCACTAAAAGACAAGATGATAAACAGCTATTGGCAGAGCCATTGCCAGAAGATGCTGTGGAGGGACAAAAACCAGACCGGAAATCTGAGGAGGATGCTAGGACACTTCATCCCGATAATGATACAGCTCCAGTCGAACTAAGGAGCTAGTCAGGGGATAGATATATGATCTGCTACTTGATAAAAATGTTCAGATTATTTTTTAAGTATAACCAGTCAGAGTGAAGAAAGCTAAAGTGTTATTACTCGATATTATAATGAGTCAGATTCGTCATTCAGTGAATAATCAATTGCATCGCTGTGGTTAAATCGAACTCAGATTTTCAGTCGGGCCATTTGCAATGCGGTTAGTTAATGATTCAGTGAACTGATTGAAACTCACAAGTTTCCAAATTACACTCACCAGAAGCAAATATATATATCTAATTTAATATACAACTTTACCCATTAAGAACTATGTATAAATACTTAGTTATAAATCAATTAAGATTTCTATTTAATTTCTTTTCTTATTGGAGTTCGTTTAGGTATCTACGGCTAGACTCACCTGGCGTTTGGAGTCGCTGCTGCTGCAGATTCTCATCAAAGTAGACATTGTGGTTGCTGGCGGTTGTCCAGATGCGATTCCGTGTATTGGGCGGTGCAGCATCCATATTGGAATGCGAAGCACACGTTCAGCGCTTAGTTGATCTTAAAACGTATATTCATTTTTTCCGTGTGATTTTTTTGTTATTTATATTTTGTAATTAATTCTCGTGTCGAGTCGTGTTAAATTGCTAAGTGTTTTATTAATATGCGTTGGCTATCGCTGAATGTGGTTCACATGGATGCGCACCACATGTTGCGCATACAAATTAAGTCGATTTAACGCAGACTTTATATCAAATGCCTAAGCGCTTCAATTCTTGAAATTCTTTGAGCTCTGACCTATTCAGGCCGTTGCATAAGTGTGCATAATGTAAAATTGAAAAATAAGCCACCGACAAGCCATTGGATAACTAGAAGAGGAACCACGGACTGGCAACACCTGTACACGACTGAGCTACCGACTGCCGGCGTATTGAAGCCGTGTTGACGCCAGCCAAAGGTTTTTATAAGGCCGCGTCGAGCCAGCGCGACACAGCAACAAACAAATAACAAACAACAGCAACAACTATTCGACAATAGCAACAACAAATCAGGCAACCACCATTAACTCCTTTTGCCATGCAAATGTGCTGCGGCAATTACAAGGCAACAACAACCGACAACAACAACTGACAGCAACAATGCGATTGTCTGACTGTCCAGCTGAATATAATATACTCGCAGGACATGAGGCATGAATGCTTCCGCATGCTATTGGCACAGTCGGGTAGAGTATGTGCATGAGCTCCAGCTACAAGTTGAAGGCTGCCAAAGTCCAAATTCGTAGCTCACTTATAAATGCGTTCAATAATATATGAAATTTTCGATATTAAATTTGGGCAAACTTTGTTAAAAAGCTTTAAGAACTTACTATTTTTAAGACATAGATAGTTGGCTTCAGCTGTAGCGATAAACTTTACCTGTTGGCTTAGGCCACAGAGCTGTTGCCTATTATAGCTATTCTCTGGAATAGATTGTTAACTTAACTGTTGCCTGTTATAGATAGTTGGCTAAAACTATATATACTACGAACGCCTTTTATAGATAGTTGGCTTAAGCTGTAAAGCTATTGAATATTATAGCTATTGTCTGGAATAAATAGTTGGCTTGAGCCGTAGAACTATTGCCTGCTAAAGTTATTGCCTGTTATAGATAGTTGGCTAAAGCCGTATAGCTAACTATTGACAGTTAAAGGTTAGCCCTAGACACTACTAACGCCTCTTATGGATAGTTGGCCAAAGCCATTGAGCATAGAGCAGTGCCTGTTATGGCTAGCTTGAACCTAAGGCCTAATAAATATTTAAAATTTATATATTATAAATCGCATATATTACACATTCTCCATACAAAATTTTCCTTTCCTACAAAAAACTAAATATATTTTAAATTTAATTTAAATTACCTAAATATCAAGAATTAAAAAAAAACCTGCAAACAATTTAAAAATGAAAAAATGTATTTTTGCATAAAAATAAACTTATAAAAATATTTTGAGCTTAGATAAATAATATATATATACTAGGCATATAGTATTTGAATTTTCCGACCAACCGGTTGGAACAATTTATTTTTTCCATTAATATTCATTTGCATCGATATGCATAACTTAGCCAAAGGGTATTTCAAATTCGTTACTATATAAACTTGTATTTTTCCAATAGTTTATGGCTGCTTAGGTTGGCCAAGCTGGGGGTGGGCACAAATCAAAATAATGTCCAGGCCGAAGTTTCGTAATCCGGGGGGAAAAAGTCCATTAGAATTGTAACTTTGGGTCGGCCAACTACATATAATTGATAAACGTATGTATATGGATATATGGCCAATATATGTAAGCGCCATGATTAATGTGCGGGCAATACCCCAAACCCTATTTGAGCTGGCCTTCAAGCACAAAATAATAATAATTAAAAGCCAACTTCAGTACCCAGAAATACATATATACATATATATATATATATTCTTGTAATACTTAACGATATTTGGCCAAGGCATTCGCATGACTCGACCTAACTTTGACATAGTTTGTGGGCTATATGGTGCGCCTGGAATCAATAAATATTATCGATTTGCCGCGCGCCAGGCAACAGACACAGCCCACAGCTAACAAACACCAAACTATATGAATGCAGTCGACAGGCAAAACGCGCATACGCCCCATGCGCCAGACCCATGAATGGCTGTGTCTACGTGTGTGTGTGTGTGTGTGTGTGTATCTGTGTGTATTTACACACATCAGCTGTAATTAGTTTACACAGCGTGCGCACAGAATTGTTATTAATAAGCAAATGCATGTTTACATGCTGCACACTATTGGCCATTTGCCTTGTTGGCCAAAAAGAAAAGTTTACTTTCGACATCGTGTTCTAGTGCTCATTTGATATGCGAGTTCAAAGAACTTTGCTTTACTTTATGCCCACAGACACAGAGGCACACATTTTTTAGAAATACATGTTAAATACTCTGCTTAGTTTAATTTTAATAGGAGTATATGGGTTTCCATTGTTGTAACTTGAAGCACGATTATATTTTGTGTACTTATTTCTAATACTCTGTTCAAAAAAATGAACTTATGGACTTTGAGCAGCTGTTAAATGGGAGTCAATAGAAATAGTTTATAGAAATAACAAAATTTTCTTCAGGCAAAATTAAATTTAACTTACATTTCAACAGGCATTGAACTAGATATTCCATGCTAAAATCAAAAGCTCAAGTGAGAAGGGAAATTCCTCCAGTGATGTTTGTGAAACTCGGAAAAATGTTCAAGTATAAACATGGCATTGATGGTCACCTCATTCGGTTCTCTTTATCATACCATACCATACCTAGCATACAACATGATCGGGGAGTAGAGATAAGTCTGCTTCTAAGAAGAATATTAATATAAGAACATATAAGAATAACCAAATAAAAGTGATTTCAGATTTTTCTACATATCTTATTGCCATGTCAAGCCTAATCAATTTAATTTTATATACAGCCTAATCAATTTAATTTTATATACATAAATAAATGCAGTTTAATTAATCCCAACCAAGTTACATAAAATACTTCAATGACAAAATTTGTTCTATAACTTCAACATCTTTCAAAATACAGCTCTACAAAGTTGCATCACACTTACAGAGTATTGCGTAGTCGTTTGCAGCTAGTGAAAACATTTTAATTTGTGCATGATATTTTAACATAGCTTTTAAAGTTTTTACTTTATTTATTTTATTTTTTTGTTTAACTTAGACTAATTACATGCACTTATACTAGACTTTACATGAAAATTAAGTGGAAAAACAAATGATTTATATTTTTATCTTTACTTTTCTTTTTTAATTTTTTTTTGTTTTTGTGAGCATAAACGCAGCGTCAGTAAATATTATTTGTTGTAAATGCTAAACAATTGACTTACATTTATGGCTATTCGATGAGTGTTTGCAAATAACTTTAGCAATAGTTACATAAAATATATATTGATTATTAGTACTTAAACATTAAAATGTGTTTTATGTGCATATAAAACAGCTAGTCTACAAAGTGTACAAAGGAAATAAAATAAAAATAAACAATTAAAACCCTAGACAGTTTGGCCTGCCATTCTGTGGTGGGTGAAACGTGTCGCTGCGAAGTAAAACAAAAAACTAATGAATTTAATTAAATTTTTGAAATTTAAATCTATAAAAATATTTAAATATATATTTATTTATTTATATATTTATATATTTATATATTTATATATATATATATTGTTGTTGTATACAAGTTTTATAAACAACAAATTGAGCTTCAATAAATGCTAAAGAAAGCTTTTTCATCGACTTATACTAGTTTACTAAGCAAAACAAGCTGAGTCTTATAATATATATGAATATTAATGAAAAACAGCTAAATATAAGCATGCATAAACATTTTCGGGATCAAAGATTGGGGTAGACTTAATACAGATCTAACTAAAGAGCAGCTCAACAATGATCCAACTACAAAACATAATGATCTTAACTTTAAAACTTTTCATATCAATAGTTACGAATATATAATATTTAATTATATAGATCAATGATCCAACAGCAATATTTGATGATCCCAGCTCAGCTTTTATAGACTTGTTACGCCTCTATTTAAGACAAGAATTTAGTCAAGTAGTTGCAGAATTATAAATAATGAAGAAAAATTAGAAATTGCTCGATCTAGTTGGCTTTGTATTGGCAGTACCCACAGTGCTTATAAAATTAAAACGTAGTAGCAGTCAGCGTAAATATTTGTGATGAATAAAAGCAAACAAAAAGAATTTTCGGAAAAAGTCAGTTAAAATTATCGAAAACAATAAACAACTTCTATTGTCAGTTTCCGATCAATTTGGTCTGGTTTTTTTATATTTGTTTGCCTCTGTTAACTGTATATACTCCGTATATATGCTTATATATATACTTGGAAGAATAAAGTCTTATTTTATATAATGGATGGTATGTTGGGAAATCTGAATGGACGATTCAAGCAGCTGAAAAATGTAGAGGGTAAACGCATGGCCATTAAGCTGCTAGGATTCTATGCGATGGGATGGACGCTTAGGAAACTTCTCAAATAAATGGACCTGTATCGCTAATAAATTTAATAAATTTGGTGTGTTATGAAACAATTATATTGCTTACATCAAAATCACATGTGCAGAAATTGGCATTGGTTTGTTTTCGTTTCGCTTTCGTTAGTTTGTCGTACGTAGTATCCGGCTCTTTGCGTTGGCTTAGTCTTGTTTAGGGCTTGCTCTCCACGGAGTATTTGCTCTTGATCACACACTTGCAGCAGGAGGGTATCTTGAAGGGCTCGTTGGCCACCTCAGGCTGCCCGCTGCTGGCATTGTTAATCGTGGCCAAGTGCCGTATCACATAGTGCTGCTTGCACACGGGCACATAGTTGTTGGGAAAACTATCCAAGAACTGACAGCTCTCGCCCTCGTGACTGCAAGTTGAAAGGGAGTTAGAGATATGTTCTGCAGTAAATTGTCCGTGCTACTTACTCGCACTCCTCGATAAGTATGCCCTGCTTGAACTCGTCCGTATTGACTATATACTGCCATGACAGATCCAGCCTCTGGCCCAGCTTAGGGTACAAGTACCTCACGTGACTGTTGCACAGATACATCTCATCATCGTTCATGCGCAGACCAAAGTCCGTGGGCTGCGGCTCGTCGCTGAAGAAGTTGGCGAAGCGACGCGATAGAATGCCCTTCAGGCCGGATAGATCCGGATAGTTGTTGACCTTGGTGCAGAAGGAGCGACTCTGATTGAAGCCATCCACGCACAGATCGCCCGTATCGATAGGCGTCGGCCGGGTGGGTCGATATTTATCTATTGAGTCGGGAAACACGATAACTGGATGTTAGGCAAGCGCCAAGGGAGTTGAACGTGTTGTGTCAGCATGATATCGATTTAGTATTTGTTAATTGTATTATTGTATTAGAGAAATGTTTTTTTCTGTTTGTTGTAGCTATACATAAGGGTGGATAATTAAAACGTACATTAATACACTGTTCACAGGCTGCTTAGAGGGGTATATTGGTTATGTAATTGAAGTAGTAAACGGCCACTCATGAGATATTGATTGATTGATATACTGATTGTACGATTTAGAGCTGGACTAGCTTGGTTTTAGAGGGACATCAGTTGATCACCAGTTTTCCAGTATAAGAATATATTTGCCTTTTTAAAAGACCACGCTAAAAGAGAAAGGATCAACTTGTCTACTTAAACTTTTAGAAATCGTTGATCCATTAGAAGACTTTGATCATTTAAAAATTTTTGCTCAGGTAAAAGTCTTCAAATTTTGTATATAGAGTTTAAGCGAGTTGGATTGATCTTCAACGAAATTGAAGCTATAAATATTTAAATACAGCAGCTCTTTTTTTATTTACAATTTACACAATTTAGAAGCCGAAGAGGTCATATTAATTAAAATTGAGCTCTTCAGATTCGAACATTATCTAAGCAATTGTTTTGGCTTTGAAGTTTGACAACCACCCAGGCCCTTTATCTTACAGTTGTGAACAGTGCATTTAACAGTCGCCTACAGCTGACTGCAATATGCAGGCATTTCACTTAGTCAACTTACCATCCGAGATGGGACGACGTGGCTGCTGTGGTTGCTGCTGCGGCGGCGTCAATGGCTGCTGCTGCTGCGTTGGCTGCTGTATGGTGGTCTGTAAAGAGACGATCGGTTCATTAAAGACGAGATTCAGCTTGCCATCCGGTGAGCGCTGCACTTTGAAGGACTGTTGCTGATGATTCAAGCTTTGATATTGATGATAGTGCTTGGGCTTGGCCTGAGACGCCGACTGAGACTGAGTTTCACTTTGAGTTTGAGTTTGAATTTGCATTGAAGTTTGGGTGTGAGTTATGTTGGTGGTGGTAAACTGGTCGGCTGCTGGCTGTTGGCCAAGCACTGTGGATATGGGCATGAGAGATGCATCATCATTCATGGCCGTCGTCTGTGTGTGTAAATTTTGCATTAGTTTTTCTCTCTTTACTATCTTTAAAGCCAAATCACAAACGAAGCACACACAAACACAGAGTGGGTTGTTAGTGGATGGATTGATGAATGTATTGATGTGGATGATTGAGGACTATATTAGAGCATTGGCTGTCATGGTGCATCCTCTGACTTACATTGAAAAGCATCACACCATGGCCATCGTGCACTTTGAATATGGAACGAACGCGCTCGTCAATATCCTCGGCGGGCAGCTGCAGCGAAAGTGTCGAAACGAAAAAGTTGGGAAACGCATAAATTTTTCAATTTATCAACAAAAGCAAGAAAAGCCCAAAGAACAATGAAGAGAACAGAAAAGAACATTCAACATAATTATTAATCGAGCATTTAACATTCATTAACTGGACTAAGCACAACTTGGCACACCTCCACCTCTTTGATGTCCCGCTGCGGCTGCTGCGGCTCCTCCTGCTGCTCCTTGAAGGCCACGTTCACTAGTTGATGGGAGAGAAAGGACGTCGTATCCGTCTGGCTGCTGTTCGTTTCTACAGCTACTGCTGCAGCTGCCTCGCTGCGTCGCTTCGACATTTCGCTATTGATACAAACTATCTGAAAGATACATGTGGAACATTTTGTTTTTTTTTTTTTGCGTTTTGAGATCGACAAAGCCCAGAGGATAGAGAGGATAGAGAATGCGCACGCGCACAGGATAGGGTATTAAATAGCGATGATTGTCGCAACGAGCTGCTAATCGTTTCCCAAAACATTATTTCGTTTGCCAATTACAGCAACAACAACAGCTGCCAGCCGCCGAGCCGCGCTTGTGTAATCAGCGTGTGTGTGTATGTGTGTATGGGTGTGAATGTGCCAGAGTGAACATAGCTTATGATATATATGATACTATATATATACATATCAAGTACAGGGTATACGAGTAAATAAAAGAGAGCCGGGGGGCAGCACTACTTAACCAAATTTTCATATTTATATGCATAGACACCTCTCTGGCATATCTATATACAGCACTCACATATATACCCTATACATAAGTTATTTGAATTTTGTGTAAGGCTATGCTAGACTGGGCTCAGTTACTGTTATATGTAATTGTTTGATCTATAATTATATAATCCCTTTTAAACCACTTAGTTTTATAATTAGCAAAGAGTATTTCAGTTTGATAGAGAAATCTGCAACAGCTGTACAGCTGTCTGGGTTGATCTCTAGCTGAATAGAAATTTTTATAAATAACTTGGAAAAATACTCTGGCCATGAGGCATTGAAATTTTGTGAAGAAGCATGTAACGTCTATATTATATAAGCAACTTATTTGCTAAGAAATATAAAATATTGTATATTAAGAAGAAAATTAGAGGCCTTGAAGCCAAAGTCGATTATTGAGCTAGGTCACACCTCATTCTACAAAGTGATGCGCATCTCATATCAATCCATTAGCACAAGTTTATAGTTTTGATGCTATAAGTCCACAATCTAAAATAGTCGAATGAAACACTATTTACATCACAAAGTGCAATAAAAAAGTTTCTCAATTTCGTATACCCTATAAAAGGTATTATAATTTTGTTACACAATTTAATATATTTTTTATATAATTTAATATGATATTTATATAAAATTTGAGAAATCTTTTTAGACAAAAAGCATTCGACAAAAGCTATCAAATTTTTCTATGCTTCTAGGGCATACATTATTCGATTGTGAGCATTAAGGAAAAAACAGTAAAACAATATTTACAAGTTCGCAATTGTTATTCAAAATATTCTGCTTAAAAGTCAGTGAACATCTGCATTCGCTAAACCAGTTGTCAAAACAGTTTTGGTACCTGCAAAGCGAGCTACTCAAGGACTTTAATAGCTACTCAAGGCAACCCTCGCATGCCTCTTAATATTTTTCAACAAATAAGTTCAATATTTATTTAAAGTTAAATTAATATTTTAAATTTCATGTTCAATTTTTTAATTCTGTTTGCCTCTTTCAGCAAGCGTATTCCATATTCGTTGCGTCTACTTCAATTCTTGAACGTTTCTAAATTAATAATTATATTTCAGCTGCTTTGCTTATGTCAAATAGAGAGAAAAAATAATAATAATCTGAAAAGAATTACTAACACTATTGAAAAACATATGTTTTCGAGAGACACAGATCACGTACACAACATTTTTGATTATTATACAATTTGAGTTGGGATTCGGATTGTTAGAAATCAGACCCACTCCCCTTTAGCCTCGGCTCAAGATAAGCCACAAATGAATGCTTTTGTCTCTGCTTAGATTTTTCATTTTATATTGTGCTGAGAAATGTCAGCAATTAGTTTTTTATCTGATTGGTGTTGTTTTAACTTCCTTCCAGACACAGTGTATGATCTATAGATGCTTAATTAACAGCCCTTTGGCTCGAAGCGCGAACTGATATACTACGTAGACTCGAGAACAGTTCCCAGACTCGACTTTAATAAACTTAGGTTTCCAGTTGGAACATGATTTGCTGCATAAATCAATAAACTATATGAATCGTGTGCTGTCTGTCGGATATGGAAAATATTATAGCAACGTGCATATTAAACAGGCGTTTAGAGGTATTTAGAGAGTTGTTTAATTTGACTTGAATACCCTGTAGATTGTAATGCAGTGATTGATTGATTGTTATATACGCTAAATGCTAGTGCAAATACAAATGCAATGATTTTAATATATTATAAATGTTAGCCAATTCCCAAAATGTTTTTTTTTTTATTTAAAATTTAGCAAAATCATAATAATTATGAAAATTTCTATATTAGAAATAAAAACTTACCGTAGCGAAGAGCGCGAAGAGCAGCAACATAATTTTGATCATTTTCCACCACATTGGCGGCATTTTTTTTATAGTTGTTTTGTTTAAAATTTGTAAATTTTTTTAGTTTATCAGTAGTTTTGTAGTAATATTTTTATAATTTGTTATATATACACAATAAATGTAAACTTTTTACAGGGTAACTGAGAGTCGACACGTTACTGATTTCTTTTCCTTATGCGCTTTACGTAGTATATTTAATAAACAAACTGGCACGACTAAAAATTATTGCCGGGTTTTATTTGCCTGCTGTTGTTGTTTTTGTTTTGGCTGTTTTTTTTTCTTTGCTTCTTCTTTTTATTATTGTAGTTGGTGTCAAAGCTGCTGTTGCTTGTTTTAGTTGTTGTCAGCCGCCTCTTTGCGCTGTGTCGTTTATTCCGCTTTGTTTGCTTCCTTTGCACAGTGGCCAACAGCTCGCAAACACACTTGAGCTAGTCGCTGTGTTTTTCACTTTATCACTTGCTGATGCTACTGATTTTATATACATATATATATTTATTTTTCTTCTTTCATTCGATATGTTGTTGCGCCGTGCTTGACCTTGCCTAAAATGAAGCCCTGTTGTTGCGATGCAAGCGCTTTTAAACCGACGCTACGTCTGCTCTGCTCTACTCTGCTGTGCGCGCACGGTCTGGTTCATGTATTTTCCCAAAGGGGAAATATTCTTGTGTAATTCGTGTGGGAGACTAACTTACTGGCCAGCACTCACGCTTATCGTCGCGCGCGACAAGAAACCAACTGAACGGCAAGTTGAAAGTCTAGACAATGCACAAGCTTTAAACAAAGCTTAGCACTAGCGCGAGAGAGAGGGAGTGTGAGAGCGGAAGAGTAAGAGCGCGCAGAGCGGAGAGCAAGATCGGCCGGCAGCGAACTACAGCTGTTTTTTGTGTCTTTGCTTTCTGCTAACAGTGTGACGCTATCATGTAAACAGAAGCAGCCGAAACACTTTAACATGCGTAATCACAGTTAACAGCTGTTTAACAGCTGAAAGGAAAAGTGCAGCTTTTCAGCTCGAAAGCTTACAGAATAGTTTAAGCAAGCTGATTCACTCAATAAGCACACATACATACATACATATATGAATATATGAATGTGTATGTAAATTTAAGCGCACTTCAAGCACGCGCCTATATATCGCTGCTCAGCTACTTGGCGAATTCTCGATGCATTGGGAAAGATCATGATTCAATGGGAATCTCCACATTCATTGGCAAGCCGCAAGACTTTTGTGCAATAAAAGTCGTTATGGTAAAATAAAGGGTGTAATGACGTAGCGCATACAAAGAAGTAGGCATACACGTATGTATATTCTGTTAACATATATATTTATTTATGTACAAAAATAAATCGTTTAGTCATAAGAAATCTCAACTTACTGATTACGTGGTCTCCCAACGAGAGTTCTTGCTGAATGAATAATAAGGCAACTCGCGTGCTTTCCAAGTATTTCACAAATTCATTTCAATTCGTTTTAACCGAAATACTGAGAATAATAGTGAAAATATATATTTTGTACTAAACTATAAATTTAACAACTTGGAATAATTATGATATTATTATTATTTGTTATTTTATTTATTAATTATATTATTTATTAATTTAAATTTATCAGATAAAATTTGTTTCATTTATCTAAACAACATTTTACCAGCTAATGTTTTTCAAAATAATAAAGTAAGCAAAATGTCTATAAACAATATAAATTTAAATTGTATTTAAAATTAAATTGAAATTCAGTCCAATTAAAAAATTAAATAAAATACATAAGAATATATATTAAAAAAGTATATATATAAATGGTAAAAATTTTAATGTAAAATAAATAAATAAAAGTGAATTTGTATTTTATATAAATATATAAATATTAGAATATTAAAAACTTATGTGAGCATACTTTTAGGAATTTAAAATTTAGATTTGCATAGTTTTGGGTGTCTTTAAATTTGGAATTAAAACTTAGTCTAATTATCTAGTTGGCAAAAAAACGTTTGACCTTTCTGAGCTTCCATTTATGTTAACCATGGCAACATTAGACCCCATTAAGCTAATAGACCCACAAAATAATAGCACAAAAAAAAAACGCCCTAAACTGATTTCAGCCATTTCGCTGAGCTGTTAAGTGTTTGGCCTAAAGCACATAATTTCGCTAATAGTTATAAATTAGCTAGGAAATGACTCAATGCGAGCCCCATTAATTAGTCAGACAGATAGAGCTGCGAGAGCAAATCCACAAATATTTTCAGCAAGAAAATGATGAAATTTTCCATTTAATATGCAAGTCAATAAAATGATATCCAATGAAATAGTGTTGCGCATTCAATGCAAATCAGAGAAGAGAAAAAAAAACACATATAATAGAAATAAAACGAAAAATTCGCCAACTACTCGTAATATACATGAAACCAGCTACAATTAAGCCGCCAGCTGCTCGTGTGGCAACAAAATGCAGCTCAAATCCAGCCGTGACAGCAGCAGCCGAAGAGACGAAGACACGCAACGCTGACGCTGTCCAGGTGCTAGCTCTGCTATAAATTCAATTGAAATGAAAATGAAAATGAAACAAGAAAATCAATTGAAAGAAAATACCCTTACTATATTTGTTTATATGATATAATATAAAATAATAAGTTTGTGGATCCAAAGTTTAATATAGTTATTTAAAATAATCGCATTACGTCTTTGTAAAAATATATGCCAGCCTAATTGTTCACAATAACTTCCAGCAGCAAAAGTCGTTTCGAATTATATCTGATTAAAAAAATTGTCAAAGCATGTATTCAAAAACAATTTTGACTATGAAATTTTGTTTAAAGAATCTTTTAAAATCTAACTAATTATTGAGCCTGTGAGTCAGTATATGCGTCATCTATTTCGGATTACGGTCCAGAGGGTCTAGACTCCTCAGTGTTCGTCTGCAGATGTGTGTTCTTAGTTGAACTACGATTAGATTTGGATGCGCTGCCATCTATCCGCATCCAGCCAAGTTTTTAAGATATTTAATATTTTTTTAAATATTTATTGATTTATCTTAGCTTCTGCTTAACTAAGCTTATCAAAAGGATAAGCAAAATTTGTATCACTAGTTTTACATTAATTTTCATTTCATTTTCCTTCCTTTGACTTTTCCTCTAAAGTCACATAATTAATGACCAAATAGTAATACTCTCAGCTAAAAGTATACGGACCAGCAGGCAACAGTTGGCAGGATGCTGCAGTTACTTAATTTGTCAGCTGGCAATGGGGCGATTATATCATCGACGGGAATAGCTGCCACATTTGGGTGCACAATGGGAGTCAATAGTCGATAGTCGTAGCATTCGCGGAATGCCACCAAAGTTGAGTATGGAGCATCGCAGCTATCTGGAACTGTAGCTGGAGCTGGCGACTTTCACTTTTTTGTATTGGGCGCTAATTCGACGACTCCTTGGCCAGCTGCACGAGCCTACAGACACAGTTAAAGCGCTGTGTGAAAATTTGATTATGCGATGGCGGTCGCAGCTTCCGCTAAATGCCAAAAACCAAACGAAAAACGAGTTCATTTCCGAATTGCAAATTTTGCTATTTATTTTTGTCTTTTTCGATTTTTGTCGCGCGACTTTGAAGTCCAATTTAAAGTTGAAGTTGAAGTTGAAGTTCATTGCGCAACGTAGCGATAACAGCGCCATTGAACAGGAAGTGCAGGAAGTCGTGCAGGATGCCGTTACCATTTCGTTATATTATCATTTCGTTTTCGTTTTTCTTGCTCATGCAACATGTTGCAAGTGCTGTCAAGGCGAGCGCCCAGCCTGTTATCGCATTTCTCGTTACACTCTGAAAATTTTTCACTTCATTTTTTTCCATACGAATTTTTATTTGGCTATTCAATTGCTCCACATCAATTAACAAACTGCAGAAAAAAACGAATGAGAGCAATATGGCATATGATAAATGGTCTTTGGTTAATAGTAGCAAAAAGCAATAAAATAATATTTTATGCTCTTGTTTTTGTAACAGTGTAAGCTGAATGAATGAGATTTTGTAATTTGCATTGAATTTTTTTAAATTAAATAATTTTTTTCTTAATCCAATTTTTCTTATATCTGAAATTATTATTAAAAGTATTTTTTTTAATTTGAAAATTGCATATGTAATTTTAATAATATTTATTTTCCTCTGCTTTCGCTGTCGTCTTTGAACTGAAATTAATTTTTCTTTCTTTTCTTTTACTTTAAATTAATAAAGAAACTGTACATTATATATATATATATATAAATCTATATATATATATTTTTTTTTTTATATTATTTATTAAACTTTTCTCGCCGCTTAAACTAAATTTGAATACTTCCTTCCTGTTGCTGCAGTCAACCGGTCTCACGGTGTCGTATACGTAATTTTGTTTTATTTAACTTTTTATGCCATTCTTGCGTTTGCCATTTGTTGAACAGTTGAAGCGATAATTTCATTATTATTATTATGTTTTTTGTTTTTGTTTGGTTTGGTTTTTTTTATCATAAGCTGATGTGCAATCAGTCGAAACTGATGGCCTGTTTTGGACGCAGTCGTTCGTTTAGCGACCATCGACCTGGTTGGCACACAACTTTGTAGTCAAAACAAATTAGTGGGAACCAACGTCTCGACTGGACACGACTCTCGGAAACTCTGCACATGTTGCATGAACCGTTGACAACTCGATAAGCAGCACGAAATAAAACAATTCAACTGACAAATTGTTGATGTTGAATGTGTGCGAGGGGAAGCATAAAATTTGGATATATATATACGTGTATATGCAAATATATATGCAATGAAAAAGTTTTTGTATATTTCAAATTAAACCGTTTTGGGATCTTTGGCAAATGGCTTATCTAAAAAGCCAGTTGCAGCTTCTCGACTTGAGTGCGCTCACAATTACTATGAATTTATGTGCCAAATGCAATGTTTAATGCATGAGAGACCTTTTTAATACCCTGCACAAATAGTTGAATGAGAGCACATCACTCCTCTCTATGTGTATGTAGTAGTAGTATAAATATAATAGTAATACAGCCAATATGGATACAGACATAAAGATACTCAGTAAGTCAAGACACTGCAGCCCATACTGGATTGTTTACTTTAGACAATTGTCTCTTCTTCTCTCTCATTTTCTTTGATATCTCACCTTCTCTCTTCATAGCTTACTTCTTTCATCTTATCATTTCTAGCTTCTTTCTTTCCTCTTCAATATTTTCTCTTTTTTTTCTAGCTGCTCTCTTTGACTTACCTTTTTCGTCTTCTGTCTTCTAATTTCAACCTGCTCTTCCTGTCCTTCACTTCTCCAACTTTTCTCTCTTCTCTCTTTCCATTTCTTACTTCTCCTTCTACCGTCTTTTAACTATCTTCTCTCTTTCTTTCAGATTCTTTTTATTTGTATACTGCTTTCTCACTTGTATCTTGTTCCGATTTTCTTCGCTCCCCTAATTTCTTTTTCGCCTCTCTTGTTGCTTCTCTCGACTCGCAGCGTTCTTAGCCCTTATTATTTTATTATCCTTTTAGATACATTTTGAATACATTTACTTCTGAAACTACTTCAAACCCTTCAAGTGCATTTCTCTTGGATGCTTTTAGATATTCCCAAAATAAACTTAAAGATTTTTACTACCTACAGGGTATCAGGCAAGCCTAGATGCTCTCTTTATAAGCACTTCTCATTATTTTGTTTTGATTTTTATTTGTGTTGGCTTCGTTTTCCTCTGCATTTTCAGCAAATTTACAGTTTGTTAACTGCGAGTACATACATATTGTGTTTTTCGGCTATGTTTTTCCATGTTTTTTCATTTCGCAGTTGTCGGCGCCCATTTCACTTTTGGTTAGATAACAGCCATTCGCAGCTGGGCAGGGTAGGGGGTGGTGGTGCAGTCGAAGCACCAGCAGCAGCAGCAACTTAACTGCAGTTTGTTAATTGTGCAGCCAACAGTCCACTGCGTAGGACAATGACAGTAGCCGCAGCCATTGTGCCAGCTTTTGGGCCAGTCATTGCCAACGTTTGCCCTCGTTGCCAGCATAACTTTTGCAACTGACAGCCGCATAAGCTGACTGCCGGGCAGCCCGAAAATGAGAGCAGTTCATGTCACTTGCACTGCGGGTCGCGGGTGCACATCTTACCAAGTTTTTGGCCACTCGTCGAGGTTTTCATGCCTTTAGACGAGTTTGTTGCTGCGTCTTCAGCCCCCTTTGCTGTTGGCGACCTTTGACATCGCCTTTTGGCTCACTGGCAGTGAACTGTGCGTAAAGTAAAATAATTAGCTGAGCTATTAGATAATTTGCCCTGAACTACGCGCTGAGTCTCGCCCGCTAACCTATGGAGGCTAGTTTTAAAATATTTGACGCGGTTCAAGGCTGTTGCCACAATTGCTTGCTTCATTCATTTCTAAATATATAAAATTTAGTTCAGGGATTGCCTCAATGGAAACATATAAGCCAACTGCATCCAAATGCGTACCAAACCAAATAATTCTTTAAATGTATAATGATCTAACCAAAATAAAATAGATTTTAAAAAATATTTTTTTCACATTATAAATGATGGGCTTTGTTTCAAGACAAAAAGCATTAAATAATCCAAATCACAGTAAAACATTTAAATTTAATGTTATAACATTTAATTTAAAAAAAAAAGACTCTTTCAAAAATTAAAATAAAAATATATCGAAAAAGAAATAATAATATTTTAAAATAATTAAATCAATTAATTTGACCACATAATAGCTTCAGCTTTATTTATAAGTTGTTAGTGAAATTGAATATGACAATAAATTGAGTGTGTGTAGCAAAGCTCTTTCTAATACTTAAAGTTTGGGCAAGAATGAAAATATATATTAAAAATCTTAAATAATTTAAAAAACTTATTTTTACGAGAATTTGTTTTTCAAATTTGGTTTTGATAGCCTTGATGGTCTTCAAGCAATAAATTAAAAATATAATTGAATATATTGAATTTTATTAATGAATGAAAATGGAATTAATTAAAGACTAAATTATTAACTTGTAATGCGAACGAGATACTGAAATATATATATTTAAAATTTCTGGTCTGTAGCTCACGATATCTCTGCATTCATGTGGACTGACAGAAGGACAAAAAGATATACAGCTAGATACTGACATCTGCAAACTGAAAACAAGCTGGACACGGATGGAAAGTCAGCAGGCAGATAACTATTCATTCATGTGGATGGACAGAAGGCCAGAGAGATATACAGACAGAAAGATATATAGTTAGTCTGCCTATATATCTTTCTGTCTGTATATCTCTCTGTCCTTCTGGTTAACATGACAAATGGACGAAAACTGCGCACGACAAGTTTCACTTAGCTTCTTGTCGTGGCCCAAGAATATATCTGCTTTACAGGGCCAAACTATTTGCAGTGAACATCTAAATAAAGTTCTTGTTTGTATAAAACTATAAAATATAAAAATTTCAAAAACATTTACTTCATATAAAATCAAATATAAATATCAATTAAAATAAAGTAGTCAACTCAGCCGAATTCTTTAATGAGTATGATTCGCATGCTGTGCAGTTCTTGCGGCTAAACGAATTGTGCAAACCGCTTCAAGTTCGTTGCCTAAGTCATTTGTTTTGGTCATGCAACGAAAAGAAAAAAAAACGGAGCCACAACAAATCAAATGGCCAAAAGATTGCAATTAAACACGTTCAGGCCGCCAATTTAAGCAGCCGGCTGCACATTTCTGATGCAAGCAACAACAACTACAAAACGCATTGAACCCAACAGCTGCCCCTCAACTGAGGCCAAAACTGAGGCGCAACCAAAGAGCTGCCAAAAAAAAAACTGAGTTAAAGTAATGCCTCGTAATTTTTCAACAGAGCGACAATAATGACGACGACAACTCTTCGCCCGGCTGCTAAGAGCAACAAAAACAACAGCAACTGCGAGGCGCTCTCAGTGAATTTTCTTTAAAAGAGCCGCACAGCCAGATTTTGGACTACAGTTCGAACGCAGTCGTCGCCGAGGAGCCACCTCCAATAAGCCAATATCGCAACAAAACAAAGACCGCCTCACGCGCCCCTCTTTCCCACATATAGCCAAACGCCGAGCGAAAGTCGACGCGAGCAACCAGCGCGCGTTACAGTGAAATCAGTGCATATGTTTGTGTGCGAGTGTGTGTGAGTGTGTGTAAATTGTGACCACAAAGAGTCAAAATATCAAAAATAAGAAATAAAACAAAAGCGAAAAGATTCGACAAAAATTGCAAGTGCTCAAGTAAGGAAAGTTGTCCATAGACAGCCAGCGATTAGCAGCCGAAGCTAATCAACAGCTACACAGTCCGCAGCTGACACTGACAACAAACACACAGAAGATGAAGGTAAGTGAAAGTGCTGCGTGCCAAGTAACCAAATTCCCAATATTGCCGAAATTTGGGGCAATTTTATGCAACATCTGGACGTGGAGCCCCAACAAAGCAACAAGTTCAAGTGCAGACAGAAAAACTTGTTCCTCACTCACGCTGCGGTTATTTCATTAGCTAAACAAATATAGGAAAACGCATCCATAAAATACAAGAAATTCGTTTTGTTATGTAAGAAAGCAAAAGCCGTTGCACTTGACGCATCAGCTCAATTGTGTGCTGATGCAGCCATTGTATATATCTGAATACACTCTCATAAATTTATATATTAGATGAACTCACTCAAAAGTTGAACTCTTCAGATTATGTCATGTGTGTGTCAGCCCATCGGCCCAGTTGACTGAGTGTGAAGGTAAAATGCCATGCATAATTATTATGTCAGACGTTGTCTAGTCTCTTTCTTATCGTTGTTGCTGTCGTCATTGTTGCGGCTTTCGAAAATCGTGTAGAAATTTTAGTGTCTAAAGCGTTGCGAATATTAGCGCAAAGCAAAACGTCAGCGCCACATCTTAAAACAATTAATGCGAGCATTACTCTACATATAAACAAAACATAAACTAACAGCTAGCAAGCCATACAGAGACACATCGAATAGCTTATACTCTACTTGCATTTGAGCTGAAGTGAATGCATCCATTTTATATTAATTTTTATATTAATTTTTAATTAATTTTTAACAAGAATTTCGCATGTTTTTCAACTAAAAAATATTTTTATTCAAAATTTTTATATTTAATTAAATATTTTTTATATAAGTGAATTATCAAAATATTTCCTTTAATGCAACATTTTTAAAAAATTTAATAAACCTTACAACTGAAAATTAAATTATTTTATATAAATAAATTTAGAAAATATGAACAGCAAGTTAAATCTCTATACTCTATACTCTATACAAGTGTGTGGCATATTTCTCCATATGTCACATCCGTCTTCAAAACAATTTTAGAACATTTAGATTAGACTTAAAACACTCCAGAAATGCTTAAATAATAGAAGTAATATCAAATGATATAAATTATTTCAATCAATTTTTTATCGATTTCAATAAAATTTTAAGAAATTATCAATAACTTGAAAAACGCTTGATCTCTTCCATAAGTGCTTTATAGGCGTATGTCTGAGATCGGTAGATAAGGATGTGGGAATAGAAATCGATACATACATACCTACGCATGGCCGGAAGGTAATCGATAAATTCATACATAAGTATGTAGCGACAGAAAACTATACAGACAGAACTAAAACTATATTAGCTAGATCAACGCAGCTTAGAATCTAGATACTCTTTGCGTTCTGACATGCCTTCTTAATTCCTATTCAATTTTAATAAGTGCAAAGCATTGCAAATATAACAACAACAAATATAACGTAATTAACAAAGAGAATGTCAAGACATGTGAAGACTTATGTCATACACCTGCCAGTCAGAGTATTAAGACTGAACCTACCACAATCACTGAGTGGAAAGCGGGGAATACGTGCCGACAGTGCGCGCATATAAACAAAATATTATTTCTTTATTTTGTTAACAATTGAGCAACATGCAAATTGAATTACGCCCAAGAAAGAGCAACAACAAACAGAAGCAGCAGCAGAAACCAAAGCCGGCAACACTTTCACTCTCTTCGAGACGCTCGAAAAGACTCGTTTAACACTCATTCGCATACGGCAGCAGCATACAAAGAGTCTCTCAGCCAAAATAAGTCGAGAGAGGCCAATCACTTGCCCAACATTAGAGTTCAATATGCCATTAAACGATTCGAATTATAAATCAAACAGAAAACATAAAACAGAAAAGAAAATATCATTAACCCAGTGCGCTTAGCGTTATGAAACGAATCGAAATGTTATTAATTAATTACGTTACGTATCATAGATACAAAAAAAGCAGATATAGATGCAATTAAATACGAAAAATATTATATTAATAAACATTGCAACAACCAAACAGCAATTTGAATCGTTGCGGAAAAATAATAAAACTTGAACTGCAGACCCTGGCCCAGGCCATCTATAGAGAATGAAACAACTTAATTTGTGCGTTTGTATGCAAATGGTATTACCAATTTCTAAAGGCTAAAGCAATTAGGCCCAAACTGACAATTGGACTTCACAAATCACCAGCATTTGGGCTGGGCCTGCATTCAAGAAACAAAGCTAAAAAAAATCATTTTAAATGTGGGGTTTTTTCTTCCATATTTTGAGGGCGGTTCCGCAAGGGCAAACCAAAAGTGGAGTAAAAAATGAAAAGGCATTTGTCAAAATAAACCATTGAAATATATATATCAATAACTCAATATTGACCACTAATTGTCCAAATTTCTCAAGTGTTACGCGACCCAAATTCGTCTTAAATGTTTATCTTTTCAACAGTTTTTCATTGTTAATCATTTCGCATGTATTTTATTGCAATCTCTTGCACAACTCAAATCATTTTAAATAGATCAAAAGTCAAAGACATTAAATGATACTTTCAAAGGTGATAGATCTACATATGTATATGTATTCAAATGTATATTCGAATGCATTCATTCATTATTTATTTGATGCTTCCATTTCTGGCAGTGGAAAGTGGATCGACAACGTTTTTAAAACTAAGCATATAGATAACAGTGATGCCATGGCCATATAAAATTACAACAAAAAAATAAAAAGGTTTGCTGAGCTTCCCAATTGCAGAATTTGATAACTAAGACTCAATTTTCATAACTCAGTAGCTTGAGCTATCTATAAAAATTTAAAATAACATTTTTATTTTTAATATTTTTCATTTTCTTAGTAATATATTGGAAATTATCAATATTTTGCCATGGTTTTTTAATTTAATTTTTTTTTAATTTAAAATTAACCTCAAAATGTGCAATTTTATTTTAAAAATATTTTTAAAAATTTTTGAAAATTCTTAACATTTTAAATTTTAAATATACTGAATATTTTGAATATTTTTCTTTCATATATCCATATATAAACAAAACCATTATACCCTGATTTTCCATTTTCAATGGGATCAGGATATTATAAAAAAATATATACTGAAAAGTTTTCAACATTTTGCAGCATCTAAAATTTGTTGAATTATTTTCAATATTTAGAAATATATTCTACATAATTTCAATATTTTATCATATTTTCAGTATTTTGGAATATGATGAAATTTTCAATGTTTTGACATATTTTTTAACATGTACAAAAATTATTGTCACTTTTTCAGTCACATTTGCAATAACCCAATGTATTGGAATATTTGCAATATTTTTGAACATTTTCAACATTCTTGAATATCTTGGAATATTTTCAAAATTTTGGAACACATTCATTATTTTAAAATTTTTTCAATATTTTGGAAGATATGCAATAATTTGCAAGACTTTCAATATTATCGTATATTTAATGTTCCAATATTGTCAGCAGAGCTTTTAGTTTTTCCAAGATATATATTAAATTAATACATAAAGTTTCCCACAAATCTCATGCTTCCAATCAAGAGTTACTTTCTTTAGTCAATACAATTTAATTTATATATTTTGTGCTCACTCACTTGATTTAAAAATTAATTAATAAAAATTAATAAAAAATTAACTCAATAAGCTTGATAGAAATGTTATATATATCAAGCTGTAAAGCGCCTCGCTGAACAACCAGATTACAAGCTCTTACGCAACGCTTGTTGGTCTGAGAGGCAAGAGTTATGACAATTGGCATAGAAATGAAGTCATTAAGCAATTATAAGATGTTCTATTCAATTGGATTCCAATTGGATTGCATCTATAATTAACGTATTCATTGGCTTAGCATTTATCATTTAGCATTTAGCATTTAGGCAAATGAAGCCATTCGCATAGTCTAATCGATTTGCTTGATGGCCCATGAAACAGTTGTAAAACGCTGAGCGCGCACAGTGCTGACGTCGCCGGCTGCAGCCGCTGCCAAAATGCGCTCAGCTGTAACCGCAACAAATACTTGAAACGTCACTTACTTTAAGTCTAATGAGGGCTGCATCATAAGACAACTGAATGCATGACTGCCACATGCCATACGCCACATGCCACATACAACGAGCCACCTGCCACATGGCATGTCTGCACTGATGATGCAATACAGATGACATTTTGGCAATTGAATTCAGCAATAAAAAACTAAATTAACTTTTACTGATTATGCAAGTTGTCGCTCATCTCACTTCCCTCTCTAAATGCTTGCAGCTGTTTTGCTTATGCTTGTGCCTGTTACTACCTCTGGTTAGCCACGCCTATCCTGCCACAAGCAGCACAGCGGGTGACAAATCTCTGTCGCTGGAGGACACAGATCTGGACAATGAGCAGGGCGAGAGCGTCAAGGATTCGCAGATAGCAAAGCGCTCCGGCAGCTTTGATTATGTGGCGCATCTGAAGTCCGGGCTGTTGAGCAGCATTGGCGGCGCCTCCGCTTCTATAGCCTCGGGCAGTTCGGGCGGCAGCAGCGGCGGCGGCGAGACCCATCACCATGAAGTGGTGGTGCATGTGAGTTTAACAACAATTTTAATTGAACAATTAAGACTCACTCAAATCTTCTCCCTAGGGCAACTCGGTGGACTATGATCCGTGGTCGTTCAAGAAGTCTGTGCTGAACACCATCTTCCAGGCAGTCAAAGCCATTACGGGTGGCGTTACCGCTCTCAAGGGTCAGCTGATCAAGGGCAGCGGCTATGCGTTGAGCGCTGGTGGCAATCTGGTGGCCGCTTCCGGTGACAAGGTCACCGACGTGGGCAAATCCATTATCAACTCGGCGCACATCAACTCACACACGTACGCCACGAGCCACTCGAGCGGCGGCGGCAGCGGCTTCATCCATCCATTTGCTAAGCTCAGCTCGCTGTCGGGTGCCTCGTCCGGCGGCAGTAGCGGCAGCAAGCATTCCTCCTCGGCACCAGGTCCCGTGCTCCATTCAGAGAGTGAGTATGCCCGCCAGCTGCTGCAAAACATCAATTTTCTTGTCTTCTGAGACGCGCCTCCAAACGCAACTCGAGCGTTAACTATTAACTAAGGTCATTATGTAACTCGCATACGCATTTATTGTCCAACGGCTGTCCAACTATATGTATAAATATCTATACTATAATTAAATCGCTGGCATAACACAACATTGAAAAGTTTAACAAGCAGCGGAGCTCGCCGTGGAAGAGGCAAAACGTGGCGTACATTGACCCCTTGGAGCATTTCCATTTTCATTTCCATTTTCACTTTCATTTTCTTCGCTGTTTGCGGCTCGAACCCGTTTTGGCCGTGTCTCGCATGTTTTAGCCTATTTCGGTTTGTTTTGACTCACGCACACACACACACAAACACTCTCCACACTTCTTCTTCTCGTTGCAGCCATAACCACATACGAGATACCAACGGGTCATGCCAACTATGGTCCACCATCGAAGCCGCCAACCTTTAGCAGCGCCACACATCAATACCTGCCACCCGGTGGCTCCAACTATGGTGGTGGCGGCGGCAGCGCCGGTGCGCCGTTTACCATTGGCCATGCGGCCTTCGAGGCGCCACAGAGCAACTATCTGCCCTCCGCCTATGGACAAGATGGTGCGTAGTCTAGCCCAACTTTGTATAAACTTCTGCTCGAGCTCTAGCTCTGTACATAGTTACTAATCCCGTTTCACTAATCCACCAAGTAACGCGTGCACAATCCATTTTAACACCAATAACAATGACTAGGCGTTGTCCAGTACTAACCACCCGCACCGCTCAGCCATCGGCATCAGCCGCCTCTAACGAGGTCTCACTTCCGCGCTTACCCAAACAGATGAAAAGTGAAAGCATTTACTTGCACACAATTTGTCTGACACAACTGTAAATACACAATCTTAGCAGATAAATGAAGATTTTTGAAAGCACTCCCCTACACTGCAAAAAAACTATATAAATCGTTTAATAACTAAGCAGGCAATGTATGATATATGTAAGTTTTATAGAAATGGTTTGTTAGAGTTTTTTAGAGCTTTATTTAGCTAAAAAAAGCCAAGCTCAGGCTTGAATTTACATCTACACTGCAAAAAAAATGTGTAGTATTTTTTATTTAATTGAATTTATAGTTTTTCGGTTTGTTTTCTGGTTTGAAATTTCAAGTTGCAAATTTATTAAAAAATTTTAATTAATTAAAATAAAATTATATATTCAATTTTTTTTCTAACTCAAAGTTTCAAGCTAAAAATGTATTCAAAAATGTTAATGAATTAAGATTAAATTATAAATCACTTAATTAAATTTTAGTTTACTTTGCTAACTTAATTCAAGCCTGCACAGCTTAGCTCTATACTCTCTACCTAATCTACAAGCTCTCGAGTGTATATATAACGGCCATAAGCCGCCACACCTTAACCCGTATGCGGCTCAACGTGCTTAAATCGATGACACACTTCTATTTGGCTTTAACTTTCAGTTTCCAGCGCGTCTTACACAATTTAAATGGCGCATTGCGCAAGCAGCCAACAAGCAACGTTTATTGTTTTTTATGTACATGATAATGATAATAATGATAATGACAATGATAATAATGATGGTAAATAAGCGTTAGTCTTGTATATATTGTATATATGTGTGCTTGTCTGTTTATATTAAGTCCAGGGTTTAGCACTCATATGACATTCCACAAGACATTAAAAGTGTCCACCTGTCGAATACTTAATATTTGTATATATTTGGCTATTTAATGGCTAAAGCACCTATAATCATATGGTCTAGCCGAAAGCCCTGAAACAACAACAAATAACGATTAAAACATGAATATATTTAATAAAAAAAATATGTATATATTATAGATAGAGTTATTAAGCACTAGACTTAACTAATTTCAAAGTCTTAACAGCAACTAAAATTAATTTTAATAATGTATAAAAGCTGTAAGTATTTTAGGTATAAGCGAAAACTAAAGAAACTTGCAGAGCATTGACTCAAATTGCAATTTTTTTTTTGAGGCTAAGCTCAAGCTGCAGATTGGTATATGGTATATATATATGATATCTTGGCTCTGTCCTCTAAGCAAAGCAAATTTTTAGTTATTGCAATGCTACCAGATTAAAAGAGTCATATGAAATAAGTCAATAAGGAAAGCTAAGAGAAAATTAAAGGAACAGCTAAGCAAGCATAAACCACAGACATTAATGAGAACTTCAAGATTAAAAATACAAGTTTTTAATTATAAATAGTCACATATATAAATCTGAAATCTTTAACTATTCAATAATTCATAATTTCATCAATAACTAATGAAATACTAATGCTCGCTGCAAGGCTATAATATTATGTATAAAAACGATCAACAGAAAATCATAATAATATTCATAATAATCAAGCATCAACGTCGTCTGTACAAAACTCAACCAACACTCATGCCACACACACGCACACTCACACACATACATAACAAGTCAAAAAGTCAACAAAATGTAAATAGAAACGCAAAGCAAATATTTAATTGGTAAATCTAATAAAATCTCACTCATTGCATACACAACAAACGAACACACACACACACAAACATACACACACACGCTCGCTACACTGTCACAACAAACAACACAATGGCTGCAGTGACCACCGCCGGCACAGACGACTTCAACGTCTATGGACGCCACAAGAAGCTCTCGGATGAGGAGGCACGCAAGGCGGCGCTGCAGCTGCAGGAGATCTTAGGCATGCTGCCCAATGGCAAGACGGAATATACAGCGTCCAAGACTGTGGAGCTGAATACGAATGGTGGGCCCACTGGCTCCAATGTGGAGCAGGCCGATCTGTATAATAGCTACGGCGTGCCACTGCCCAATAATCTGGGCACATTGGAGTCCCTGTCGCACACAGAGTCCATAACAGCTGCCTATGCACCGAGCAGTCAAGGTCCCGCCGATATATACCATCAAATGGCCAAGAGGCCGCAGACTGCAGAGGAGGCGTACATACAGAAGCATCCGAATGAAGGCTACGATTATCCACCAGCAGCAGCACCACCACCACCACCACCAGCGTCGAGCAACAATGACTACAAAGTGGATAACTATCACGCGAGCAAGAGCAATGCGCTCAGGGATCTGTCGCCCATTATAGCCGCCCTGGAGGTGGCCAAGCGCAAGGGACCATCCGGCAGCAGCAGCAACGCCCCCGTCACCTACTCCATTGAGAAGCAGGTGCACAAGGTGGCACCGTTCCAGTATTTGCCGCCCGTGGTGCAAAAATCCAAATATGTCTACAGTGCACCGCCCAGGCCCGCCTACAGCGGTGGCTACAAAGTGCGACGTCATGTGGCTGCCAGGCGACCAGCCATGTCCCGGCCGCAGGACTATGATATACAGGATCCCCTAATGTTCAATCGTCTGCTGGAGGTGTAGGCGTTGCCCACTCTACACACCATAGCTCGATAGTTCACTAAGTCATATGCAGCATTTATCGATAGCTTAACCTAATTTATTCATGTTATCTCAATTTTCAACATCAATATAGTCAACATATAGACATATATGTATACAAATATATATATATATATATATATATATATATATATATAAATATATATATAAATATATATATATATATATATATATATATATATATATATAAATATATATATATATATATATATATATATATATATATTTATTTATATATTTATGTGGAACTCGCAGCTTTTGAAGCAATAAACGAGTTTGAAACCAAAGCACAAGGCATGCGCATCTGTAGCACACTCTATTTGCACTGCTTTTATGTAATTCCCAACACCACTGCACCACCACCCACCATTCCCACCTATACACCAACTGGATGCTGGCAATCACAGCTATTCAACTCAAGCAACACACATCTCACCTGACGCTCTCTTTACAGTCTATCTGCAGTAGTCGATGCGAAGAGGAACCAGCTCTTCCAGCCCTCAGCCTGCCCTGGGCGTTAACCCTGGACCACGCCCATTCAGTTTAACAGCACTTTCGATCCTTTTTTAGCTCTTAGCAAAATGCTCTTTCCACCCACTTCATCTTTAGCTATAGACGATTCACAGCTCTTACACAAACTACTTTATTTGGCTACGAATTCATCGAAATTATCTGTCTTACTCTTAAGTATTTAAAATAATAATATATATTAAACTAATAAATAACCGTTGAACAATATAAATGACGTTAAATTTTTTTGTTACGCCTAAAAGTATGCTACAGAATTTTTTACATTTTGAATTTCAGAAAAATTAGTTTTAGAACTTATAAATTTTTTATATTTATTTAAAAAAATATTATTTTAGTCGTATTTTTAAATGATTAAAATATGTGTTTTTATTGGAATTTTAAAGTTTGATTTTTAGAACTTTAAAAATGTTTTTGAATTTTCATTCCATCCTCAAAGTATGCAAAAATTATTGAGCTAAGAAAAATACCAAAAAAATACCTTTAATGCCACACATTTTTCAAAATAAATTTTCCAGAGTCACTTTAAAATATTTTATACAAAAAGGCTCATTTATTGCGTAGGACTACCCCTATTATAATTAATACCATTTCATTTCGAGCTAAAAGACCAAAATTGAACTTATATTAAAACTGTTTTGAGTCAATAACCGAATGAACAAATATTTGTTTCGGTCTTTACTTTAAAATAATCCAAAAATAATTCTCGAAAACTCCTAAAATATCAAAAGCATTTAGCATAACAAAACTTATACCATCTTCATATTATTAAATATTTCCCAAAACTTAAACCAAAAACTTCTTAAGTTTTCTTTTATTTTATTATAAAACTTTGAGCATTCAAATCTCACGATTGGAAAATACATATACAGAAATTAAAGATTCTAGAATCTAGTAGCAAGGAATCACTGGCGTATGGTTGGAACAGAAATGTTAAGGCAGGCGTAGAGCTTGGGGCACAGTTGGGGTGAGGAGAACTACTCGATTAATCATTGTATGCACCTGACTCAAAGTAGCGGCTGATGCGCCGCCTCATTACCCCGAATACCAAATCCTCAGTTCACTTCTAGTAGTAGCCGAAGGTGATGTCGTGCAGCGGCTGGGCATTGCCTTGGGGCAAAGCATAGTCGCGTGCCAGCTGATCCAGAAGACTTCCACCGCCACCGCCAGCACCCACACGACCCTGAGCCTGCGGCTGATAGCTGCGCTGTGGCTGGGGCTGTGGCTGTGGCTGCTGCACGGGCTGTGCACTGGCGCCCTGGCTGGGGCCAAAGTGCACTGGCTCCAGCAATGGACGACCGCCAGATGCGGGCGCCAGGAAGCCTTGAGCACGTGCACTGCTAGGCGCCGGCGAGGCGGGCGGCAGTGCATAGACGGGCCGGGAAACGCGCACGTTGGAGGGGCCTTCGCCGAAGCTCTGCGACTGCGTATAATCGGGCTCGGGACGAGCGGGACGCTGGAGCGGTGAGTATAGCACATCTGTGGTGCGCTGGGCGCCGGGCACTTGTAGGCGTGGCGGAGCTGGGCCCACCGACGGCGATTGCGGTTGCGGTGCATATTGCACGCGACGCTGTGGCTCCGCTTCCTCCTCCTCATACTGCACATACTGTGGCTGCGGTTGCGGCTGCGGGCGTGGTGCGGGCTGCGGGCGTGGCTGATGCTGATGCTGCTGCTGTGGACGTTGCACGCGCTGGCAAGTGACACCAATGTCAAGATTAACCTAATTGGTTGATTGATAATGATGAAGTTAACTTACATAGGGTCGCTGTGGTCGCTGCACGGGCTCCTCGTCGTAGTCGGGCTCCTCCTTGGTGGACTCGTCGACCAGCGTGGGTGGAGCTACGGTAATGCCCTCGCCCGAGGGCTGGAAGCCGTACTTATTGGCACCATATTCCACGACGCGCACCTTGCCGTCGGCATCAACGTAGCCGTACTTGCCCTTCACCTCGCCTGTGGCCAGTTTCGTTTCGATCTTAAAGGAACCATCGGCACCCTCATAGCCGTACGTATACGAGCCGTCCTCATTGTGCCTGACAATTTAAGATAATAGATATTCAATATACGCTATGCATTATAGGCCATCAATCATTTATCAATCTGTCAAAAAATTAATCAATCAGTCAATCAGTTTGTCTATTTAATCAATCTAAGAATCAGTCTCAGAATAGATTGAATTCTTTAAACAATCAATCAATCATTCAATTTCGGTCTGCTACTCAGTTAGTCACTCAGACAGACATTGAATCAAACAGTCTGTCAATTAGTCAAACAATTATTCCATAAGTCATTTGTCAATCATTCAATCAATCATTCGTCAAGCAGTCAATCACAGTCAGTCAATTATTGAAAGCTTAAATTCAGCTCTTATTAACTCAATTGTTCATTCAATCAGTCAGTCAGTAATAGCTAATCAAACAAAAAGCTCATCAATCAGTTCCTCAATCATTTAATCAATCTGTTTTTGAATTAAAACTCAGTTCACATCAGTCAATAAGTCATTCAATCTATCACTCAGTCTTATAGTTTTTCAATCGTTAAGTCAGTTTTCAATCATTTAGCCAATGAGTCAGCTTATCAATCAAACAGTTGCGTACTGTAAACTTCATTTAATATTTAACTATAGTCAGAATATCGAATAGCAGTTGGTCAATCACTCTCTTATTCAGTCAGTCATATCATATATATAGAACTTACTTGTTGATCTGTTTGAGAATGGGCACTGGTGTGGGTCGCGTCTCCTCCTGTGCGCTGGCATGAAGTCTATGAGGCGCCGCTCTGGGTGCGCTTGGCTGATAATCCTGATAGTCCTGGGCAGTGACCAGGCTGCCAATCAAACAGCCTATTAACAGTAAATTTTGTAGCTGCAAGCGAACAAAGTGTGAGAGAGCAGCTGTAAACCAGTTTGCTAATCGATATCACTGTATGGTCGTAGCCCGTACACCTTGACAATGCAAAGGCGGCAAAGAATATAAAGTCTACAAAAGTCTTAAGTCAGGCTACCTTTCACTTTTTATATACATATATATATAAATAGTTTTTAGCTGGCCACTGACATCGGCTGGCATATAGGAACGCTTGTCATTGTGGCTGGGACACCCTCAATGCCAAGCAGGAACCGATGGCAGCTAGCAGATAGGTCGCGACGGCGACGTGGCATAAGCCAAGCCGAGCCAAGCCAGCTCAACTCAAGCAGACGTGTTGCATAAAGCCCAAGCGACACGCGATGGCCGCGCCGACAATTAATTGAATATCCACAGGTGGAATGCAATGAAAACCGATGAAAGCATTCGTGTATTTTATTTTCATTTATTTGTTTTTTTTTCTTTCTCTCCGATTGCAACTCACATTGTTGGCATTTGATTGCACGAATGCGAGTGCGCATAAAAATTATTTGCCACTGCGGGAATTCCACTCGATGCGCCATGTAGAAGATGCAAAAGAAAATTTCCCACACATGCCAATCTCAGATATGTTGCACAAGTATCTCAAAGATGCATCTCAACCATGCAAATGCTAAAGAAATTACAGCACGGGGTAGGAGTAGGGTCTAGCGGGTGCAACAGCTGAGGTCTTGGCAGCCAGTCGACAGCTTGACAAGCAAACTGAACGCTTGACTGCGATTTCTGCTGTTTGCATACCCTGTAAAAAGTGAACAAACTGTGGGTGGGTATGCAGGAAGTTCAGAATGCTTATGTGACGGTAAGCAAGGATTAAGTCATGACATTTAAAGGGTATATTAGACCTACAGCTTGAGTTTTTATCATGCCCAGAAAGTAGAGCTGATAAGATACCCTGAAAAAACAGCTTGGAGAATAGTTTTAATCAAGTTCTAGAAACAAGTTTCAAACTGGAAAAGTTTCTTAAAGTTAATTGAGCAAGATAAGTTTTTGGTTGATTAAACTCAACTTTCAGCTGCTAGCATACCCTGTAATCACGAAATTGCTAAGGAATTTGCACCAATAAAAGTCTAAATGATATAAAATTTATATATTGGAATATAAACTGCCATGACTATTATTACACCCAGTAGCAACATAATTAATATACCCTATAATCGCAGAAAGACATTTATGGTCAAATGACATATGAGCGCATTTCTAGGGTACCTCTAGTTGACTAATTCTTCGACTATTGTCTACAACAGCTTTTGCCGAACAAAATTCGCACAGGTTGTGGCTCTTATGCTGGCTAACGAAATTAGAGCAATGGTCAAGCAAATGCGCCCAACTGTAGATGGATTCAATGCTTGTTTGGTCCTTAACAAGACACTGCATGCCACATGCTCCACACCGGACTCCCACTTGGAGTCGTCCACGCTTTTGTCTGGCAAACCTTTCACTGAAACTCCATATGCCATAGCCTTGGCGCTCAGTTACACAGTTGCCTCTGGCAGCGACATGGGACGTGGGACATGGAGCAGCAGCTACTGCCGACCACGTTTCAGTTGATGCCAATTTTTTTTTCTTTTTCGACAGCAACTGACCGAAAAAGCTGGCGTCCAATCGCAGCGTGTGAACTGCATTCGAAGTTGCCTTTGATATTTGCGCTCGAAGCGAGTGGGGCGCAAGCACAGGGGGCGGGGGAAGGTGCTTGAAATGCGCTTGTTAGCGCAACTTTTTCTGCACTAAAGTTCCTGCAACTATTTTTTTCTCAATAGAATGCCAGGCAATTACGAGACACACATCGCCAACATCTCATAAATTATGTGTTAGACACCAAAAAACAAGCAAAACAGAGCCGAATCGACTGCACAATACTCGCTCGCGGTGCAATATCAAATAAATCTATAACAATTTGAGCAGGTATATTAAATAATATCAGTCTCTGAATACCCTAGCTTGTACACTATAGCGGGTATGTAGATTATAAATTTGGTCCATCATGAAGCCAATATACTCTCCGTGTACTTTTCGAGCGGGCACAAAATCGAAATAGAAAATCCAGTTACCAAATTGGGTGCACAAAATCGAGCAATTGCTCGACTATCTGGTTAGTGGAGCAAAATTAACGGTTTGACTCAATTTGCATAGCAAATTATGCGATATTTTCACACACACATAGAGGGTATGCTGTCTATAAGGTGTATGACGTAACCAGTCAGAGAGACAAATGCATTTGATTGGCCTGGCCTGGCCTGGCTTGGGCTGTCACGCATTCAGGCTCAACTTTAACCTTTTGTCAAGCAGCGCAGAGTGCAGCTGTGCTGCACTACAGTGCCTGCTGTCAGTATTTGCACAACATTCTCTGGGACCTACCACTTTCATTTTCAGCTTCGATCACAGCTATTTCGTATCGCTTAACGGCTTTAATTGCAAAAGACCTTCGCTGGCACAAGACCCAGCCCCAAAGCAGCAGCAGCAGCAACAACAATGGCACCACAAAAAATCACTTTCAATTGATCTAATGAACCGGGACTGTAACTGAAGTTTTGTTGAGTTTTTGATTTTGATATATTAATTTTTTTCTTTCTTCTTTTTGCTTATTATTCACGTTTAGCGGTGCGCCAACATTTGCTTGAGACCGACAGCAACTGAGCCGCCCAAGTTGTTGTATTTCGCTTTATATACCGCGCTTCGGGCTCGAGGAAAACCTTTTCCGTACCCAATCACAAGCGAACACCAACAAAAGCCACCAACTTCACCAACGAGTCGGCGGCGCATGCGCAAAAGGACAGACATCAACTATAATAGCAACAACAACAATTACTACTACCACAACACACACTCTCAAGCTGCTTGGGCAAGTTTGACTCTTGTGTGGTTCTCTCTGTGCTTTTCAGCGAGCTTTTTCTGCGCCACCACAACCACTGAACAAGCAAATAACAGGAAAGGCCAAGAAGTGGTTGTTGGCGCGACGATAGACAATGCTTGAGATTGTGTTTTAGATCAGTTATGTTTAATCTGATAAAGTTAATAACATAAACTATTTTAATTATATGAAAAGTGATTTATTTAAATTTTTAAATTTTTTATGTATTTTTGTAGTACTACAAGTTATTTTAAGTGCTTAATCCGAAACTGAACTCAGATAATCTTTGCCAACCCAGGTTTTCAGCTCTACGTTAAGCTAAGAGTTCTTGAAACTTATATATGTATATGCGGTATATTATATCTATATATATATATATATATATATACTTAAGGTTTTCTAAGGAAGTATCTTAACTCTATTTGATAGTGCTTCAAGTCTTCAAGTCCCCAAAACTATTTTATAGATTTTAACTTAACATTTTTAATTGAAAGATAGAGACTAGCTGGCAGATGGAGACAAGTTAGCGAGAGACATAAAGAGAATGAGAGAGAAAGAGAGACAGAGAGAGAGAGGTCGCCTAGGACAACTTTTCAATGAATTCAACAAGCGATATTTGACTTGATATGGAACTATTCTGGTTTCTGATTCGAATCCGGCACCTTAAAAACCGGAAAAGGTTCAGTTGATACCTAAATTACTTAACTCAGTTGAGCTTTGACATGGCTCACGCCTTAATAAAGTGAAATATATTTGATGAATTTATTTTAAGTACTTTACTGGACGCGTAACGCTATCTAAAAATTAGGTGAATATTTTTTAAATGTTTACATATTTTATATCTATATCTTCTAGCTGGAGAACAAACTAATTCAGTTTAAATATATTATATATTTATATGAAAAATTATATTATTATATTATGCCCATATGCCTTTAAAAAAGACGATGGATTAATGTCATAAAGTTTACTATCTAATAAAGTTCATTTAATTAATTTTCAAAATATATATCTATTCTTAATATAATTTAAATTTGTGTAGCTCTATAAATACCATTTATTATAAAATAAATAACTTTAAATCATTTTCAAGCCAATCCAATAAATATTTTATATTTACATTTATAAAACATTAAGCCCAACGCCTCTAAGAAAGCCAATTATACCAGTTCACTTAGCCAACAATTTTTATAAATTACCTTCACAGACAATGCCGAACGCCAATGTCTCTCCCCAAAAAACTCACACGGTAAAAAAAGCGAAATAAATTTTGATACAATTAATCAACAGAAATGTGAAAAATTAACCAAATCGACAGGCGGCTCGGCTAATGAATGGCTAAAATGAATAAATGAGTGAATGAATTAGAGAACGAGCGAACAATATGAAATGATTTTTAGTTAACTGGAGTACATAATGCTATAAATATCGCTCGAGTTGAGCAATTGAAAAAGTATCAATCACTTGCATGAGTTGGAGTTGTCGTAAACCAGTTAGAGCTTCAAGCTATAAGGAGTATGCGTTATGCGAGATGGTAAAATCAGTTCAATGTGATTTTAATATGAGCTAATTAAGCTTAATTAAACTTTTCGTAGCTTTGATCAGCTAACTAGAGCAACCTCTTCCATAGCTGAGTAAGCTATGGATACAAGCTTGCTCTTAGCAACTGCCTAGTTAGCATATCGCTTCCTATTATTATGAAATGCTAAGCAAACATGTAGCAGATTGCCTCATTAATCGCCCACAAATTGATTGTGTGCCTCTTGTCCGTAGCTCGGCAACTGTGCGTATGCGTAATGCGAACATTGCCGTTACCTTTGCCTCTGTCGCATTGTATTGCATGTTAATGTGAGCAAAGTCGGGTAGCAGAGGCCGGAGGGCAAAGGCGGGTTATTTGCACTGCCAGACCAAATAGCTAACAGAATTGAAAGCTGCTCAGAGCAAGCAAATGTGCAGGTAAATACACCTATACACCTTTACACACACACACAGACAATGGGCATGGCCTTGTCGTTGCGTTGGCAATACTTGTAATGACAGAGCGAGTCACCGTTATTGTTGCAGCTATAACATACATGTGTATGTGTGTGTGTA